AGAAAATAATAAAGCAAACGTAATATAGCACAAGAAAACGACCCCAAATCCCAGCCCCCAGACCTTGCCAACTACTTTAGTTGCGCGATTTTCGCACGTTTGGATCGTCAGATGAAGTACTAGCGAAGATTTATAGCGAGAACTTCCCACAATAATTTCCCATTTTCCATAATTTCTCATGTCTAATCTTTTGCATTACGTTTCGTTCACTTTCAGGCTGCCACTCGACGAAGAAATTACAAGAAGGTAAAAGTGATTACTGTACTGTATTATTTTATTTGTATTTTAATTTATTTTTCATGCTTAGAGACTTTCGTGCAACTTGTATCGCATCAATGTTGGCTGTTTAAACACATAATTATTCGTAGTCCAGTCCTTGAACTCTGAGGGGTTGAATCCAGGCAGAGAGAGTCCAGGAAAGAGAAAGGATAACATGAACGCACTTGCTCAGATCGAGCCAATCAGAGCATTTGGCGACTGCGTGCGCAAGGATATAAATTGCTCGTTCAAATGGCGAATTCAACATGTTCAGCTACGCGACCTTCAGAGCGGAAAAACGCAATAAGCATGCGCGAGTTTTGGCTGCGCGCCAGACTCCAAGTTTGAGAAAATGGCAGGGAATTTCGTCGATCGTGTAAACAAAAAGAATCACGAACTTTATATGCTTTCCCAATTTTTCCGGTAAGCAGCAACATTTTAACGTCACTAATGTTAAGCTGGTGTATTGTTTGCCTGGAGAATCGATTTTTTTCGGACAAAATTAACCTAAAGAAGGTTTCCAAACCCTTTATTTCCCCCACGGTATGCAAGAAATTTCGATGCGAAGACACATTTTGTTCACAAACCCTCTTTACATATTGCATCCATATAAGCAATTCACTGAATATATAAGCAAGAGAACCTCTGAGCAGGCAGGGGGAGCCTTGTTTTCTTAACAGTGAAATGCCGAAAAAAATTCATGCATGCCCAAATATAAATAAATCAATCAAACGACATCCTCGCGTACCTTATTGCAGTCCGCCGTTCTTTTCATCATTACAGACCGCATTATTTCCTGAGCCCGCAAGTAGAGCTAGGGATGCGCAGAAAGCTGCTCAGTATGTTTTTCCACTCTGAATACGCGACCAAGTACACAACTTACAAACGATTTTTTAAGGAACTTTGACTAAAACAAGGAATGCTGCAAACAATTAACCCTAACCACGCATAACTGATCGATAACAAGCCAATTTACTGTCATCTGCTGCTATAGATGGCGTAGTTCACGGTTCAACGCCCCTTTAGAGTGGGGAAGGGAGAGCTTAGGGACTGCGCCGACTGGACTAATTTAATTTTCGCGTGCGTTAGGATTAGATGCGCGAAGAGACGCGTTACAGATCGCGCGCCGTTCCCATGGTACTCATTATCTCTTTCCGCATCTCGTCCCGGGACACACGTTGTGGCAGACCGCGCTACTTAGCAAACAGGTCGTTGGCCGCGCTCAAGGATATCTATATCAATTTATTGAAATAATATTTGGATTGGCCTGATATCCTGTAAAGACAAAACATTCTATCTAAAGACAAAAGCATCTGTGGTCGTGTACCTCAATGGCATGAAAAGTTTAAGAATTGGTTTTGACCCTTCTATTCCAGAGTCAAAATTAAATTCTCCTTTATCTAATGCCACAGACGTTTACGGCTGTTTCTGAGAATTAAGCGGTACAGCAAAACGGAAGCTCAAACTGACGATTTTCTTTAATCTCCTTACCTATCTGCTTTATAAAGTCTCAACACTCCCAGGAGAAAATACATGTCCGTCACATGATCCTCGTAGCAAAGGATTTGAGAAGTGGTGACAGCGATACAAACGGAAAGTCCTGCAATTTAAACCGTTTCTTCGAGCTCAAAAGCTTAGCAAGCAGATATTGATTACTTTTACAAAATATCCATTGGTGAAGACGACAACGCGAGGTTAAAAGGCCAAAAATATTCAGAGAGAAAACTTTGTCCACCTCAATGCCATGTCTGGCATTATCACAGAACTATTCGTACGTCGAAACAACGGAACTAAATCAGGCACGGTAAGTCATAATTGTCGCCATGAACCACTTTATTTTTACACAACAAGTTCGCCTCCGCTTTCGATTTTGAGTTGGAAACAAAATGTAATTGAAATAAGCAGAAGTAGAATATTACAAATGACTGTTTTAGCTCCAGGTTTAAACTGTAAACGTTTTTTTACCACAAAGAGCCGAGATAAAACTCTTTCCTTATACGTATATGAAAGTGTATCAAAGAGTTCGCAATGGAGTTCACCTTTCGTCAGGCCACAATTTTTTAAGCGTATGTTACTTACTTGCTGATTCAATCTACAACCACGGTGGTCTTTTCTCTACGCAGTGAAAATTAAATTGTAGCTTAATTTCCATGTGTCTGTCTAGAGGTTACAGCGGGTAATTATGTCAAAGAAATGAAAGATGTTTTCGTCAGAACCAGAGCGTCAGAGTACAAAATGAAATGACGGCCCTTTTGTCTTTTTTCTCTATTTAAAAGTTAGCCGTCCATTTACCTGCCGTACAGTTACTTTGGTCTTTAATTAATGATTTTTCTGTTTATCATTCGAGGTGCATTTCGGTACATTCGTTTGTAGTATTGACAAAAATTTTCTAAGGTAATCTATTCTACCAGGTGAAATTTGGGGCAAGCTTGTTTTCATCAAGACACGTATTTAAAAAACTATTGCATCGGAACTAAAATTAACAAGTTTTCGTTGCTCCAATACGAGAGCAGGGTTTTTCAGTAATTATTTGCTCGAGAAACCAGCTTATTTAAACTAAGAACCATTTCACTATTCATAAGGAGAAAAAAACATCTGCTTTTTCGTTCAACGTTCGTAATTCTGTTTGGAGAAAGCATCGTTCATTATCCTAGCTACGTTCACGGCTCTAAGACGTGACAACCGTGTTTTTTGACAGTTTGAAGTACTCGGCCTTTTGCCCTTCTTTTACATTCCCGCTTCTCGAATTTCGCGAGGATTGTGAAACAGTGATTAGCTCACCTTTCACACTCCAGAACATTATCAAGTTATCAGCTGATTTATTCGTCTTTCTAAAATCGAACATGGGGATAAACTGACTTCAAATCGTAGAGGATTCTGGAGGGATTTTATCGACAGTATTTCTGCATTTGGTGTCGAGGAAATCTTTAAAAACCTTCGTACAGACGTTTTTGAGATATCGACAGCAATGCGTTCGTCGCGAGCGAAAAACAAACATCCGTTTTTTAGCATTTTTCCGCGGATAAAAATTGGGAGAAAGTCAAAACGCTGGACTGAAGAAATTTATGTTTTTCCACAGAGCCGGGCAGTATCCGAGACGAATTTGTTGATTAATCTCAACCGAATATTGGACACCTACGATGAAGATTTGAAATCGGACGATGTGATCGTGGAAAACGCGACGTTAAAGACGGGCAAGACCATCCATCGTCTAGATAGAAAGGACAGACACCAAGAGGTTCAAGATGCTTGTCAAATACACGATTTGTCTCTCAGGGAATCGTTCTTAAAAAGCTGCGAACATGTTGGCATTCCGCCCCTCGCCATGACGTACTTTCTCGACAGAATGGCATCGGCAGATACGGAATTGATCATGAGGAATCTTGGGATTGGTCCCACGGGTGCTGTTGCGGTCGCCGACGCTTTGGCGCGAAACAAGTCGGTCACGCGACTAGATCTGTCACTCAACAACATTCAAGACAAGGGGGCTGCCGCCGTGGCTAAGTTACTTGAGGTTAACAGTCTTATAAATGATGTGAACCTATCCGAGAATAAAATTGGCAAAGATGGCGCTGAGGCGCTTGGAAACATGCTTACTGTAAACGATAGTTTGGTCAGGATTGATTTGTCGCGCAACCGCTTGTCCGATGACGACATTCAATTCTTTAGCAACGTTTTACAAACTGAGGATTCGCTTTCTGTTCTAGACTTAAGTCACAATTCTTTCGGAATTACGGGTGGAGAGTACCTCGGCGAAATGATCGGAAACAACACTTCACTGCGAGAGTTGAATCTCGGCTGGAACCGTTTGGGAGACGAAGGAGTGAAACAAATTTGCACGGGTTTAAAGGAGAATAGAACGTTGGAAAAGTTGGATTTGTGTTGGAACGAAATTGGCCACGAAGGTGCTAGATGTGTGGCAGAATCGTTGGAAAACAATGGCAAGATTCTTGAGCTTAACTTGAACAACAACCGCATCACTGACCGGGGAATGGAAAAGATTGCCAGAAGTCTGGAACTGAATGAAACTCTGAAAGTTGTCAAGATCGGTTACAATCTCGTCACTGTAGAAGGCGCATGCGCGCTTCTGCGGTCGCTGTTGAAAAATTCCGGAAGCGCAGTGGAAGAGGTGCGCATGGCAGAAGTAGAAGTAAACAGTGACATTAGAGAATTATACTTCAGATTGAAGATTCGTAAACCACGATTTAATCTTCTGGAATTGTCCACCGCTAGCGGTGATTTTTATCATTTTGTCAAACCTGAGAATCCCATGAACGTGCTAGATGATTATTTAAAAAGGAACAGACTCACTTATCATCAGTGTCGCAGCATTGACGAAGAAGACGATTAAAAATATAATTAAACTCTTCTTTAGACGGCATAGCAGAACTTATAACGGGAAGCAGTAAATATGAGTTATTGACCAAGCTAGTTCGGTCAAGATAGCTGGCCTGATTGGCCAAGTTCTTGCGTGTTTATCGAGTGAGACGGAGTTGAGGTCCATAAACAAGCAAAACAAGAACTTGCCAATATCCAGCCGTCTTGACCGAAAAAGCTTGGTCAATAAAGGATTCATTACATAGAAAAGGAACACTATTTTCTTGCGGGACACAGCGGGTAATCCCGGGCGAGCAAGATAGCGTCATCTTAGCCTCTCGGGTAGCCAATCACAGCGCAGGATTTCRTTCATCTTGTCCGCCCACAAAGCTAGCCATATAATAAAAGTCCCATCCTTAAATTTTTACACGTTCCCTTCCCCCCCCCCCAACCCCCTTCCTCCCACCCCTGAACCCATTCTTCCCTGATTAGGTTTGTTATACAAACTAGTATGGAATCAAGACTGATAACAGTTTTCTACATCGTACCTGATTTCAAAAAGGGGGAGATGGGCTACTTAAAGGAAAACGGCTTGACGGGTAGGTACGTAGAACTATTTGACTGGCGACTACGGTACTTTTTGGAGAAGAGCTGTGAGCTAGTCAAAAAAAATNACTAAACTGCTCGCATTTACAGAAGAATTAAAAGACAAAAGAACTGACAGAAAACATCCACACAAATGAAGAGGAAGCAAGTGTTCTTCAAAAAAAATTTCTCAGTCGGAGGTGATGATTGTGCCGTCTCTTATCAAGAAGCTCAATGGTGCTTGTTTTGAACACTCTGTGGGAATTCACAAGCCTCTTCGGGGTATGAGGTAGCCTTACTTAAGCTTAAATAAACTATTTCCCTAAGAAATTTTCAGATCTTCCCGCAAACTTTTTTCGGCCTAACTGTGTGCTCATTTACCGTAGTTGTTTCTGTTGTACGCGTGAACAAGCAAATTACTAAAATAACAAGGAGCTACAAGGAACGACACCTCGGCAATGTGAAATTTAAACGCTCACACAAATTTGAATGACAAGCTTACCGTAAATAAATTCATGTCGTTTTCAGTCTTCAGTCCTGGTCGCTGATGAAATATTTCGTGGTGAATAATAAAGACAATAGAGTGTTTCTGTGGCCGGATGGCCTGTGGAAAGAAAGTTGATCTTGGAAATTTTTCAAGAAACAATTTTTCAAAAAACATCTTTCTACATTTCCGCAGATATTAAAATAGTCAGCGACAAGCGCGCTTCCTGTTTTTGTAGACATTAACGGTAAAGATAAATTCAGTACAATTTTGGATATCTTAAAACCAGACAAAAAAATAATTTTCCCTCTTTTGATGGCAATAGGTGCTGTATGTTATTATGGTCGGTCAGTAAATGGAACTCATCAAATTTGCAGATTTGTAGCACTACGAGTGTCTAGTAAAGGTGAACAAAAATACGAAATTAAAACAAATGCATAAACGGGAATTNGCTCGCATTTACAGAAGAATTAAAAGACAAAAGAACTGACAGAAAACATCCACACAAATGAAGAGGAAGCAAGTGTTCTTCAAAAAAAATTTCTCAGTCGGAGGTGATGATTGTGCCGTCTCTTATCAAGAAGCTCAATGGTGCTTGTTTTGAACACAGCAGGAATTCACAAGCCTCTTCGGGATGTGAGGTAACCTTAGTTACTTAAGCTTAAATAAACTAATTCCCTCAGAAATTCTCAGATCTTCCCGCAAACTTTTTGCGGCCTAATTGTGTGCTCATTTACCGTAGTTGTTTTTGCTCAGGTACGCGTGAACAAGCAAATACGAAAATAACAAGGAGCTACAAGGAACGACACCTCAGCAATGTGAAATTTAAACTCTCACACAAATTTGAATAACAAGCTTACCGTAAATAAATTCATGTCGTTTTCAGTCTTAAGTCCTGGTCGCTGATGAAATATTTAGTGGTAAATTTTAAAGACAATAGAGTGTTTCTGTGGCCGGATGGCCTGTGGAAAGAAAGTTGATCTTGCAAATTTTTCAAAAAGCAATTTTTCACAAAACATCGTTCTACACTTCTGCGGATATCAAAATAGTCAGCGGCACGCGCGCTTGTTGTTCTTGTAGACATTAACGGTAAAGATAAACTCAGTACAATTTTGGATATCTTAAAACCAGAAATAAAAAAATAATTTTCCCTCTTTTGATGGCAATAGGTGCAGTATAACTATTATGGTCGGTCAGTAAATGGAACTCGTCAAATTTGCAGGTTTGTAGCACTACGAGTGTCTAGTAAGTCTAGTAAAGGTGAACAAAAATACGAAATTAAAACAAATGCATAAACGAGAATTCAAGTCACCTGAACGGTCCTTTCTAATTAAAAAGCCTTTCATTGAGCCAGTGATTATTTGATCTCGAGTAATATTTACAACAGCTCCTGTTAGACCAAGTTTACTATTCTCTTTCGCTCCTCCGCGATACCACATACTAAATATGGTAACATTCAGTTATAGGTCTTTTCGTATTCGCAAAGAGATTTGCAGTATAAATTGCAAAATTCAACTCCTACTCAGATCTGCGTTGCGCTCCCAGATTTCTTTCGTTTCGTAAAATATGACATGGATTTCGGCTAAACACACGGCCCAGTATTACCATAAGCATTCCTATTTTTACGTTTAATACACAAAAGATAGCAAAAAAAACTTTAGGTGGTGGAAGATCAAAGATCAAACAATAAGACTTGGTTATAAAGCTGATCAGAGATGACATCGTTAGAAAACTATTGAAACCAAAGAAGACTAAAGAAGCTTCAAGACAGACAGATATGTACATTCTTTTTTAACAACCAACCTTTTATTTGCCACATAATAAAATACACACGAACATTTTTAGCATGCTGCAAACAGAAAGTTGAATTAAATTTCAGCTTTCTGCATTCAATTTCAACTTTTAGCACTAAATTTTTAACTATCTACACTGTTTGGAATTAATTGACGTGCTCTCACCCAATCAGCATGCTGAAATTTTTGCAGGTATATTATTAGGAATATATAAGCACTCGTATTTTTTTCAGAAAGACTACAAATTGCACTCGCACTGGCAATGTTTTTTAAGTCTGAAAAATTCACTTGTTGTGCGTGTTTTTTACAAATTGCACACAAAATCATTTGATTACCTATACTTATCTGGGTTGAAGAGCTCAAGACAAAAAAATAACAATTAAATAACTAAATAAATTAATAAGGAAACAGGAAAGAGGAAAAGATAGTTATGGAACCTCTATTGTAACTGCTTTGCTCAAACATGGCAGGAGAGAGGCTGTTTCTAACAGCTCTGATAGCTTGTTTAAACCTTGTAGTTACTTGTGTGAAAAAAAGAGTCCTTTCCCTAAACAGGAGTTTTTCGTTTCTTTGTTTGTATACTCGAAATTAACGTGCCTATGATCACAAAACGAATTTGATCTCGAAAAAAACGGCACAATGACTTGACCTGATCGTACAGTGTATCATTGTATTTTTGCTTTACCGTTTGTAAACACATCCTGTATTAACAGATGCATTTTAGTAATTTGATGTGTTGATGTTTGTGTTTACATTCGTTCCTTGCAACCAATCGAAAGCAATCTTTCTTACTCAAATGTTTGTAACAAACAAATTAAGCCTAAAGCGTCAAACTAACAGAGTTAGACAACACAAGACGCGCCAAACCTTATGGGACCTTATCTTTTGTTCTCTCGCGATTTGATGTAATCGCGAACAATTGTTGCCAAGAGTAACTATTGAAAAGTTGGTTTTTATTAGTTAAGCCAAATTAGCGTCGTACAACAAAAAACCAGTCTAGCATTTAGGTTTCAACGAGTCAACGCAGTGGGTTTAGAACGTACAAGCTAGAGCACGAAAACGTTCGAAATACGTTCGTTATGTCAACTGGATGAATTTTGCGGAACGACACCCGCCCTGGCGCAGCTGTAGACAAAGATGTCTCGTTTGTCCCGGGTGGAATCTCTAGAAGAAACAAGCTTCTCCAACTCGATCGAGCGGTCGGTTGGAGCTGCGGATGCGACACTGCAGCATCTCGCCTCGGCAAAGGAAACGTTTGGTGATTTGGAAGCAGCTTATCGGACGTTTAAACACGAGCTGGAGATAGTCAAAACGGAACATGCAGCCCAGGTAAGTACATTTTCCATTCTTTTATTGCCTGAGGTCGAAAACTGTGTCTTTAAACCACAACTTCCTAGGCTGTAACTGGGTTTTCATTAACTTTTTCTGCAGGAAGGCAACTGCTTTTCACAGGCAGGCAAAACGTTTTAAACTGAAATTTTTTATGAGAAACCTTTCTTTCAGATGGTCAAACCAGGCGGGCAAAATCCTCGTCCTCATAGCCGGTCAAATTGCCCAGTGCCCAGTCCTCTTTGAAATAGTTGTTTGTTCCTGACCAATGTGGTTCGCTTCTGCCTGATCACGTCTGGGGCCTTGTAGATCAATTGGCAGGGTAAAGCAACACTCAAAAAATTTTGGGAGCACCACGTTTCGTGTATTTAAATCTTAAGGATGTGAACGATTTTTCCTTTCCTTCTGACCTCATTCAATGTTGATAGGACTTATACCCAGTAAGATTTTTGACGATATAACACTTTTCACCTATTCTATCAATTCTTTCAATTTTTACTCCATATTCCCTGGGGCACGGTCTTTTATCACAGATTTAATGTGGTCTAATTATCTATATACACGAAACCCTTTGAAACTGAGAGCCGCAAGTCTAACTGTAAGAAATAAGAGGCATTGCAACACATCAGTAAATAACTTGGACAAAGTACAAATTGATATTGAGCTTGTCTTCATGACGTGAATTTTAATTGTCGTATAACCTTCGCGTCGCCTTGCGCTAGTGGAAAGTTCAATTTGCATTTTATTAAACTGTACTTAGTTCAATTACAATATGTGCAATCTTTCATTATAGCACCATTGTTTTTTCTTCTTGTGTCCGCCATTACTCCTTATTAATTCATAAAGTTATTAGGACCTGTAGTTCATTTTCCAAACACTGAAACGTCCTTTAAGCACTTTCAAGGAAGCGAGGAACATACGCCCTTTTAAATCTTCACTTGTTCGCTGTGAAACTGAATTACGGAAAAGCAAATGAAAACCGTGACAGCAGTTATAAAATGGCGCAGAAAACATAAAAGAGGTTGAGTCCCCAGAGACTGAATTAGTGACTCCACGTTTGCATGAAAATAATTAAGTTTTAAACGTGTAGGAAAGTTGATTTGATGTTGGGTCTCTGAAAAGATATTAATGTTAGGCATGTACAAAAACTTCGGTGATGCCTTTTGGGCAAACAGGTATCCAAATCAACCAAAACGTGGGCTTTTGGTGTGTTTATCTCAAGCGTGTAAAAAAACTATTACTATAGTGTTCTATAGTATAATATCA